GATATTTGTGATTGAGCCCTAATTCAACCATAAAATCTGATATTTGTGATTTGAGCCCCTAATTTAACCATAAAATCTGATATTTGTGATTCTGTAATTCTGAACCCCCTAACTTAACTTTATAATTTGATGTTTGATGCAAATAGAACTTTCTAACTTTACCTAAAATCTTGTGTTTGTAATTGTAACCAAGGACCCCCTAACTTATCCATAAAATCAGATGCTTGTTGTGATTTAGGACCACCTAACCTTACCTTAAAGTATGCTTGTTGTTGTGATTCAAAACCCTCTTACTTATTTAATCTAAAAATCTCAAAGTTCAAGGTTGTGTGATCAGAGACCCCTAACCTTACCTTAAAATCTGATGATTGTTGTTTTGTTCCTCTCACTCCGTGTACACTATCAAATCCATCAGGAGCTGCTGTCAGGTTTTTACAATACTGATTAAATTCCTTACATCTGCCAAGAGCTACTTCATTTACAAGCATGAATCTACATCCACTTTTAGTGCTTGGTAAACTGTATTTAGCACTTGTACTGAAAAGAAGATTTGATTCTGATAATTATTTCTTCAAGGTCAATTGAAGGATCTAGACAGTTGAATATCAGGATATTGTATTTTTAGTATTTCAGGTCATAACAAATTACAACAAATATAATTTCAAGATTTGAAGGTTACAACTTCTTTCACATATATATGCATAAAAGATTTTCTGTCAAAGATCTGATAATGACTTATCCTAAAATCAATATTCAATATAAAATGATTAAGAGTTGATTGTTTCAATTGTTTTTTGTTTCCGATATTATCATTCTTTCACACTTCATAGGAAGGTTGTTTTAATCATATTGCCACGCCCTCTAAAGTTGTCACCACATTTTTGAGCTGATAAATAACTAATGACTAGCATGACTTGTAAGCTGCCAACCAATAAGAAAGGCAGATTTTGGTCAGATCTCTTCTACACACGCGTGGTCTGAACATGTAGAATCTTTTGCACAAGCATACACAAGAGTTCAAATCCTGGGTTCCATACATCACTGCAAATCATGAATAATTAATAGCAATGAATATGCCTAATAATAGACCAGTCGTAGTAATTTTGCATTGAACCAAGAATTAAAAAAGATTTACAAAATTGCCACTATTAAGACCTGCAGTCGATGTTTATTTGGTCTAAAATTATCCGGGAAAGTCGAAAAATACATAAAAATAGACAAACTGTGGCACCAAAATTTTGACAACAAGAATTATTGCCACTCACTGACAACACAAAAACAACATTAAGTAATTGTCAGGAAGGAAATTGATGAGTCATAGAAATTTTATTTTGTATCACAGACAATTTTGTTTTTATTCTATTTTATTTTGCAAACTCAGGTTTCCAAGAATTAAACCAAACAGCCAATTTCTAGCTTCTCAAAGAATAATACAATATATAATAGACTGCAACATATTCACAATACCTTGATGAATCAGCAAAATAGATTCCATGACCGAGCATTCCAGGATCGGTACGAGTTCCTCCAAAGTCATCAACTACAACTCTGGGTAACAACAATCCCCTGCACAGAACATACAAATTTAAAATATAGGGAAAAATCAGTCATTTGTGTATTTATCCAAATTTCATTTTTAATTATCCATTTTTCATTCACTACAAGATCTTGTGTTATGTGTGGTATCGCAAAAATATTTTTGAGGATGATCAATTCTTTCAACATTGAACTAAAAAAATCATTTGTTTTTTGCAGTTTGATTTCTGTCTTTCATGCATTATGTGAAATTTTGTGATGAACAGAAAATCACCAATTTATGAAGACAATTCTGACACAAATCTGAGAAAACTATCGAA